CCACAGGCCAGGAAAGCAGATGGGCATCCCCAGGAAGGAGCTCCGGGACTGTTTTGGGGGGCTAGTAAAAAGCTGTTGGCACCCCGAGGCCACAACGGCAGAAGGCCACAAAGGAAGGGCCCACGGTTGGGATATGGGGGGGCAGCCCCGCACAAAGCCTCTGACAGACCCCCAAGGCAGTCAAGGAGGTCTCCTCCCGCGGGCGCCAGGCGCCGCACCCTGCAGGCACCTGTGTGCTTGACGGCCATGTGGGAGAGCAGGAAGTCCTCGCGGACGGTGGCGTAGGCGCAGAGGTTGCACCGGAAGGGGCGGTCGTTGATGTGGAGCAGCTGGTGGTTGAGGAGCAGCTTCTTGTCCTCGCAGACGTGGTCGCAGAACTCGCACTTGAACCTGCACGGAGGGGAGCCCGGTGAGCCGCGCCCCGGAAGAGCCGCAGGGGGACCCACCCCGAAGGCTCCGGTCGGGGACGCTCACCTGTGGTTGGCCACCGCCTGGATGTGGGTCAGCAGGTGCATCTTGAAGGTGTAGCGCTTCTTGAAGGACTTCCCGCACTGCGAGAGGGCGGAGGGGTCAGCCGGGGTCACCCACAGGGCCAAGCTTTGTGCCTGCCCCCCCCTTCCCCGGCAGCCCCACACCCACCTTGTCACACATGTGGGGCTTTTCGGAGCTGTGCGTCTTCATGTGCTGGGTGAGCCGCTTCTGCATGGGGTAGACTCGGCCGCAGACCGGGCAGGGGAAGGAGCTCCGCTTGGGAGCCTGGAGGGGAGAGACCCCCGCTGGGTCAGCCGCTGGGAGGGGGCCCAGGGAGGGAGGGAGGGGGGCTCTGCAGGAGACCACCAGCTGCTCCAGGGTTGGCCAGGCAGGACCACAAAGCCCAGAAACAAGGCCGTTTCCAGGACAGAGCCAAGCTGGGGCCCCCTCCCAATCAGAGGGGGCATAAGGTGGGGGGTGGGAGGTATGGGGGGGGTGGGAAGGGGGCCAAGGCTCAGGGGACCCTCCTTGCTTACTGGGTCGGCTCGCTTTTTCCTGCAACAAAGCAAAGGGGGAAAGGGCTTCGTCAGGAAACCGGAGCACGGAGGGAAGGCCCCGCCGGGTTCGGAGGCCGCGCAAGGCCAGGAGGGGGTCCAGAGCTCCTCTGTCCAGCACTCACTTGTCCCGGTTGTGCACGGCAGAGTGTCGGATGACGTCCTTCTTGTACACGCTGGTGTAATCGCACTCCTCGCACTTGTAGGGCTTCCGACCCACGTGGTTGAACATGTGCTCCTGCGGGAGGCAGACGAGAGGCTGGTGGCTCCTGGCAACACAACGGCTGCTTCCCTGCCTGGGGTGTGGGGGAGGGGGCCGGCGGGAGGAGGCTCACCTTCAGCGAGGACCAGCGCCGGGAGCGGTAGCTGCACTGCAGGCAGCGGAAGAGCTGGGGGTCCCCGGCCTCGTGGGAGTTCACGTGGAAGCGCAGGTCCTCGTGGGTCAGGAAGCGGGAGCCGCAGATCCGGCACAGGTACGGCCGCATCAACGGCTTGGCGGACTTGTAGCAGTACCTGCGGGGAGGCGCAGAAGGGGGGGGTGTCACCTGCGGGGGGCCCAAGCCAGAGGCCTCCTTCCAGAGCCACCCCGCCTCTCGCCTTCGCCCCATGTACTTGCGGTATTTCTTGCCCAGGAACCGATGGGAGGGCCGGCCTCGTCGGCGGGGAAGTGCCTCAGGCTCGCCGTGGGACGACGGGTCCCTGTTCTCCGAGTCCGACTGGCTCACCGCCACTTCCGCGAGGCGACTGGCGTCAGGGGGGACGGAGCTGGCCACCTCGGAGCTCTGCGCGTCCCCCTGCGGGTCACACGGTGAGGGGACGGCTGGCTCCACTTCACCGCCTGCCGAGGGAACAATTCAACCATGGAGATCCAGGTCTCCAAAGCAGCAGCAGCCAATGGCAAGAGAGAAGGCGAAGGGCTGCCGGCAACACCCAGGAAACGTCCACCGGATCCTATCCTGTACAGGGGGAGCGGCCATTCCCCGATGGGATCTCCGCTCGGGCCCCTCCGGGGACAGACGGTCAAGAGAACGGCCCGGACAGCAAAGGGGCTGCCTGGGGTCAAGAAGCGTCTTTCCTGAGCTGGCTTGGCGGGTAACATCAAACGAGGCCCCAGAAGCGAAGAGAAAGCCGGAGCCAGGAGGCCTCCAGGCTCAAGAATTAACTGGCAAAACCTCCCTGCTGGCTAAAGCAATCAGGACACAGCAGGAAACGCGCCTGCAGATGCACAAAAGACGGGAAATGGACCCAATCCTGCACAGAGGCCCATTCGCAAGCAGCAGCAGGTCTTAATTCCACTGGAAAAATCCCTGGAAAGCCTCCGGGCTTTTCTCCCCAAGGGGTGCTGCCTGAAGGAGCCGCTGTCAGGACTCTCAACCGCCCTTCAGCACAGAGGGCAGCCCTGCCCAACGGAGGGAGACAGGACAGAAGCCCAGAAAGTCCGCGGTGGTCTCCGCTGCCCAGGCCGGAAGCCTCAGTGCATCTCCGCCCCTCGCAAAGACCTTCCTGCCCACCGGCCCTTCCTCCTCCTCCTCCTCCTCCTCCCCCCCCGCGGCCCCTTACCTTCCGGCCGAGGGGCCCCTTCCAGGCGAGGGAACTTGCGGGGCCTCCCGGGGCGCCGGCGCAGTCCCTGCTTGGGGCATGGGGGCAGCGGGCGGCCGATCTTGGGCAGGCGCACGCGGGGCTCATCCTCCGCCGGGTTGTAGTCGCTGTCACCTGCAGAGGGACACGGGTGGGCACTGGTGGGGCAGCGGCAGCAGCAGCCACGCTAGGCGGGGGGCCCATTGCGTCCAGCCCCCCTTCTTACCTTCGGGGTCATCGATAGCACCAGCGTCCACAATGTCCTCCTCCTCCTCTTCCTCCTGCTGATGCTGCTCCCCTTCCTCCTCCTCCTCGGGCACCGCAGCCCCCTTGCGAGGGCGGCCCCTCTTCGGGGCGGGGTCGCCACATCCTGCAGCCAGAGGAGGAGCCCCTTAGCTGCCCGTGATAAGGGGCAGCGGACCCCCTCCACTCTCCCCCCATAGTGATAAGGAGCAGCAGACCCCTCCCCACTGCCTGCCCCCTGGATAAGGGGCAGCAGACTCCCCCCTCTGATAAGTGACAGCAGACCCCTCCCCTCTCCCCCCATAGTGATAAGGAGCAGCAGACCACTCACCCCTGCCTGCCCCCTGGATAAGGGGCAGCAGACCCCTCCCGTCTCCCCCCTGGGAATAAGGGGCAGCAGACTCCTCCACTCCCGCCCCTCCCCGGGATAAGGGGCAGCAGACCCCCCCTCTCAGCAGACCCCTCCCCTCTCCTTCATAGCGATAAGGGGCAGCAGACCCCTCCATTCCCCCNGCAGGAGCGTCTGCCGGGCGGCGCTGCGGAAGGGGCACCGCCGGCACTGGAAGCGCCGCACCACCACCTCCTCCACCAGCTCCTCCGCCGCCCTCCAACGCCGCCGCTGCTGCTGCCGGGAGCCTGCGAGAGCCGCGCGTCACTCGCCCCGCCGGGAGACCCCGGAGACCCCCCCCCCGCCCGGCCCCGGAAATGGGAGGGGTGGGGGAGGGGGCTCACCCGGGGGGGGCTCCTCCGCCGCCGCCGCCGCCTCTGCCGGGCCGGCTCCATCACCTCCGTCCTCCTCCTCCTCCTCCTCCTCCTGCCGCGGCCCCCTCCCGGGCCGGGGGTCGCCGTCGCCCCCGCCGCTCTGCGGGGCCGGGCCTGCGGGGAGGGGGAGGGGAGGGGCGGGGTCAGCGGGGGGGGGCTGAGGGGCGCGCGAGGGGAGGGGGAGGGGTCTCGGACCCCCGCGCGCAGCCGCCCTCCCTCCCTCCCTCCCTCCCGCCCCTCCTTCCGCGGGGCCTGTCCGAGCCGGGCTGCCCCTGGCGCTGCCTGCGCCCCGCTCGCCCGCCGCCATCTTGCCGGGCTGCCCCCTCGCTTCGCCGCCGGCTGGGAGCCGCCGCGGGCACCCGCTGCCCCGCCGCCGCCTCCCCCTCACCGCCGGCCGGTCCGTCGCAGGGCTCCGGGGGCTCCGTCGGCGGCCGCTCTTTCTGTTCCGGCACCCGCGAAGACGCCATGGCCGCTTCTCTCAGCCGGCGGAGGGATTCGGCGCTCGGACCTCCCCGTCGCCGACATCGCTGCTGCCGGAACTATTTCTGTAGGGAACGTGAGGGTGACGCGCTGCTACGCTCGGGTCTACTTTTCGTCGGCTTCCGCGGAAGCGCCGATGGCCTTTGCCGAGCGTGCGTGCGTGCGTGCGGGGCGGGGCCGGCATCGCTCCCGGAGTTGCGAGTCTGGCCGGGACGGATGCTGTAAACCAGGGCTAGGCAACCTTGGCTCTTTTATGACTCGTGGACTTCAACTCCCAGAATTCCTGAGCCAGCTATGCTGGCTCAGGAATTCTGGGAGTTGAAGTCCACGAGTCATAAAAGAGCCAAGGTTGACTTACCCCTGCTGTAAACCATGGTTTATGCTTAACCGTGGTTTAAAGCCTGGCGGGGCGAGTTTGCCGCCCGGAGGGCGAAGCAGACAAAGCCGGCGCAGGGCTCCAATGCAGGCGAGCCCGTCGCGCGGTCTCGGTCGGGGTGTTTTGCAAACCGCGGTTTGTGGGATGGGGAGGCCAACAATCGTGGCTTCTTTGGGGAAAAAAAGTCGGTTTAGCAAACCGTGGTTAGCCCCTCAGGCTTCGTTGTGGGCAGAGGGGAGAGGAGCCTCCCACGGGCAAAGGGCCGTCCCGGTGCCCCGCTGCGCCCCCAGCCTCTGATTGAGAGGGGGGCGCGCGGGGGGGACTCAGCTGTCCCCGGGGCGCCTGGAAGGAGGCTCCGGTTGCAGCTGCAGGGGCTGCATTGCGGCTGGCCCGGCCAGTCAGGGAGCTGCAAGCCTACTGGGGATGGGGGGCTGCTTGGGGGGGGCTGTAGGGTCTCCCCAGAAGTAGAACTGGACTGCCCAGGAGGGCTCCTCTTTCTCCCCTTGCCCACCCACCCACCCCGCCTGCCTTTCTCCCTCCCCCGTTGAGCCTCTTGTGGCTGCTGGGACTGGTAAGAGCAGGGCGCCCACTTGGGGAAGAGGAAATGGCCCACCCCCCCCGAGGGGCTGCACTGCCCCCCCTTTCCCTCTTCCTCCTGCCCCCCTGCGGGGGGGTCCTTGCAGGTGGAAACCCCTCTTGGGGGGGCACCCATACTGGCAAGGAGCTTCGTGCCCCTCTCCAAGTCAGCGGAGCATTGACGGCAGCCCTGCGCTCCCCCAGGCTCCGGGTGCACGGGGTGTGTGTGTGTGGGGGGGGGAGTGTTAGTCAGTGTGCCCAGCTTTGCCCTTCAGCCCCCCCCTCCCCAAGCCGGCCGCAGCTTCCGCTTCCCCCAGCCCTTCGGAGCAGTTGCCTTATTAGGAGCCCCCCCAGAGAGGGTGCCCAGCTGTGCCAATTGGGGCTTGCTCACCAGAGCCTTGCCTCATCCGAGGTTGCACAAAGCTGCCAGGAACAGACACCCCCCCCCCCCGCCACCCTTGCTTCACACTCTCCGGCCCCTCCTCGAAGGATTGGGGGTGGGGGGCCTGCAAGTGATTTTGCCCCAAGGGGGGTAGGCTGTCCACAAAGGGGGGGAGGGGTCCTGCAGGCCCCATTCCGCCTGAAGCCATTGCCACCCCAAACTTAAAGAGGGGGGTCTGCAGCTTTTAAGGAAAAGAGAAGAGGCAAATTGGGTGTCACCCCACCCTCCAGGAACCCCTCCCCCCTTCTTGGGCTGAGTGGTTTGTGTGGGACAGGGAGGGGCCGTCCTTGAGCCTGTGGCTTTTAATATTTTGGTAACAGACAATAAACTGTGTCTGCACAAAGGAGGAGGGGGGGATTGTTTGCACAAAGGAGGGGGGGGAGGGAGTTGGAGAGATTTTCCTGATTGTGCATTTCTTGCAAACTTTCCCTCTGCTGGGACTCGCACTACATGGAGTCCTCAACTTACAACCAGAAAATGTATGTGGTGAAGTGAGATATTTGTTGAGTGAATTTTGCTCCATTTTACGACTTTTCTTGCCACAGTTGATGAGCTAGCAACCCGGTTGTTAAGTGATTCAAGTCTCTGAATTTTGATCACATGACCCTGGGGATGCTGCAAAGGGTGTCAGTGTGAAAAATAGCCCTAAATCATATTTTTCAGTGCCGTTGTAACTTTGAGCGGTGAAGGACCAGCTGTATGAATTTATATCACAAGAGCAGAAAAGGCCACACTATTTCCCAAGGATGGAAGTGGGGGGGGGGGGCTGGAGCTCCAGGGATTGCCAAGAAGGGTTTGGGGGTCCTTCCCGCAGCATCGGACTGCTTCCCTTCAGTGGGAACCCGTGTCCCCTGGGGACGTTTGAAGGCCACGCGTGGCGTCAGCTCCCGGAGGGACTGGCTAGACGCGCAGGACCCAGAAGAAGCGGAGGAAGGACAACCGTCTCCCCCAAAGTCTTGGGGAGACCGAAAGCATGCTCTTGGTGTAAAAATCCAGGTTATGACCCCCCCCAGTGGTTTCCTCCTGGCAGGTCCCCGATCTGAGTCGAGTTGCCTCAGTTTCCCCATTAGGCAGGGAAGGTCGTTTCAATTCCCCCCCCTTCGCTGGCTTTGGTCTCTGGTCACGGGCAGAAGAGATGGGCAGAAGAGATGAGGCAGGGGGCCAGGGGTTCAGGGCTGGCCTTGACCTTCTTTGCCCCCAATAGAGTCCCGGCTCCTCCACGCCCGCCCCCCCCCCCGCGGTTTCTGTCCTGGGGGCCTAGAGGGGCTGATTCATCACTCAGGTTAATTTGCAACACTTCTCTGCAAAACAATCCGGAACCGCAAGGCCGGGCAGGAGCCAGGAAGGCCCCCAGCTGGGTTGAGGTGCCCTCTGCAGGCTTGCCAGGAACCCCTGGGGCCAGCTGACCCCTGGGGAAAGTTCTGGCACGGGCTGCGGCCCCCGCCTTGAAGCAGAGGGCAGGCGCTGAGCAGAGGGGGGAGCACAGCCAGGCTGGGTCCCTCCAAGATGCTGGGGGTGGGGGCTGCTGCCAGCTCTGGGGTGCAGTTGCTCCGTGCCTGCCCCATTCCAGAACCAGATCTGGGGCAAGGCCAGCTCAGAATGGGACCTTGAACCTGACCCGCGAGTGGGCGGCTACCCCCCCTGGTGCAGCCCCAAAATGAACAGCTTAATCAAATTTAAGCAAGAACACTCCCCCTGCACACCATGCGTCAGGCAGCAGGTCAAGTATGTACACTGCAAATTACTAGAGGCGCAAAAAAGACGGAAACCGAATAACTTTATTTTTTGCCCTTCGTTTTGTTTTGTCTACTTTTCTGTTTTTCTCTGGCCTGTACACACAACAAGTAACGGTATAATGGAGATCTTTGCATTAACTAGTAGCTAACTTAAACTAGAAATGTTTATTGTACAGTTTTGTAATATGTTTATTGATATAACTTGTATTTGTTTATTAATTTGTTTAGCTTTGGATGAAAGATTAACCTTACGTTTATTGGCATCCACATATTAAATCGCAGTTAATACCGACACAAACGTCTTTTTCTCTGTCTGGGAAGCTTCCGGCTCTGTCAACATCGGAGTGTTAACAATCTCTGCCCAACACTCTTATCAAAATATTATGACAACTGTACCAAAACAAGGAAGCAGAGTCTGAAGAGCTCTAAAAAAATCTGCTTTTCACAGGACCTTCCTGAAGCCAGAAGAACTTCCTTTATTGCTCAATGCACGGCTTAGTCCTTCACTTGCGACCACAACAGAGCCTAGAATTTCTGTTGCTAAGCGAGACAGTTGTTCAGCAAGTTTTGCCCCATTTTATGACCTATCTTGCCACAGTTGTTAAGCGAATCACTGCAGTTCTTCAGTTAGTAACACGGTTATTAAGCGAATCTGGATTCCCCGTTGACATGGCTTGACAGAAGGTTGCCAAAAGGGATCATGGCCATCATGGCCATCACAGATACGAGTTGCCAAGTGCCTGGATTCTGATAATAATAATAATAATAATAATAATAATAATAATAATAATAATAATAATAATAATAATAATAATAATAGTAATAGTAATAATAATAGTAATAGTAATAATAGTAATAGTAGTAGTAAAGTTGGAAGGGACCTTGGAGGTCATCTAGTCCAACCCCCTGCTCAGGCAGGAAACCCTATACCATTTCGGACAAATGGCTGTCCAGTCTCTTCTTAAAAACTTCCAGTGTTGGAGCATTCACCGCTTCTGGAGGCAGGTTGTTCCACTGGTTAATTGTTCTAACTGTAGGAAGTTTCTCCTTAGTTCCAGGTTGCTTCTCTCCTTGGTTAGTTTCCATCCGTTGCTTCTTGTCCTGCCTTCACGTGACCACACGTTGTTGCAAGTGTGAAAAACGGCCACAGGTCACTTTCTTCAGTGCCTCTGTAACTTTGAGCAGTCAATAAACGTATTGTTGTAAGAAGAGGACCGCCTGGGCTTTGGGACTCCTCATGGGGGGCGCCTGGGGGGGCTCTGCCTTGTGCTCCCCAGGGAGGGACACCTTCCCCCCCCTGGAGAGTCCACTGGGGCTCCCTGGCGCAAGGTGTGCTTAGCCCACCCGTGAGGAATTAGAGGATTGAGGGCTGCGGGACTTGACGCTCTCTGCCGCTCAGGGACCCCCAAAGCGGGACCCGGAGAAAGGCGGGGCGGGGGCCCAGGAGCTGCCTCCCCTGGAACAACCTGCCAGCCGCTCTGGGACTCAATAGCTTTTGTGCACGCAGCCCACGGTGGGGAGTACTCCCCTCTGACTCCCCTCTTCCCGACCTGATGGGCTTCTCTCCCTTTAGGCCCTTTTCCCTTTCTCCGGGGGGGGGTCGGAGGGGGCTACTCAGAGTGAGCCCCAACCCCTGTCCCAGCCCCGGCTGTGTACCGGAGGCGTCGCGGCAGCGCCGGCTCAACCCCCCCCTTCTCTCGCCCCTGCGCCCTGATCTCCCCCCCACGGGTGTCGGAGGGGGGCTGCCCCACTCGCACGGGGCCACGAGAAGCGGGCGAAGGATCCGCGTCCCGGGTTGCTGCGGCTGCCAGTCGCGTGGCGGGCGAAGCCACCAGATCCGCCTTCTCCGTCCTCGCC